CACAAAGCATTTGCAAGCGCAACCTGAATGCATCCCGCAGGAACGCAACAGCAGCTTCAGTGTCATCACACCAGCCCGGAACAGCGCGCACCGATTAACACTGGAGGCGCTGTACATTCGCAGTTTGAGGCCAGAGCTGTGTCGACAAAAGAAGCACATCAAGGTGCTACGGCTGTTCAAGCTGCAACCAGACTGACAACTTTATCACGTGTTTGTTCTGGTACTGCATTCCCCTCATGTGTTGTTTCCCGCATTTTTCCACTGCTCCATACATTCTTATGGTAGTGTAGTGTGAACTTGAGGCGCGTAAGAATATTCTTGCTGATTCTCTACCCCCAGTATAAATTCTGGCTTCGTTTCCGTTCTTGCTCATTCCCATGTACAGTCAAATCTGCCGTTAGCGACCTCTGCTGTAGGCGACCATCTACCGTTAGCGACCGATTTTCCGTGCACCGACGGTTTCACATACAAACTGATCTGTCCAGAGCGACCATCTGCTGTGCGCGACCAGCGACCACGATTACATGCACGGTGGCTGCATTCAAATCTGCTGTAAGCGACCGCGACCCAGGTTCAGTCAGGTGCGAAACTGTACTTGCCAGTGCGCTGTCAACTGCAAAGTGTGAAAATGCGCTGTCTTGCAAGTGCGATCGACTGGCGCCTGGCCTGTACCATGTGTACTGAGGCTGTGCTGTAGCTCTCAAGTCCAGGCAGTGTCGATCTACTGCCGTGTCGCATACGCGTACTATACGGGTATGGTCGTCGTTGAATATCCAATAAAATTAATGATATTAAAAATCACATTATTCTCGTCGATTTGAGTACATGGAAGCATAATATATCTGGTATGCCGGATTTACCATACATCTGCCGTAAGAGACCATCTGCCGTAAGCGACCGCTTTTTCTTGCACCAAGGGGCGGTCGCTTACGACAGATTTGACTGTAACTACTGATGAAAATGGGTGAAAAGCTTTTAGTATTATGAAATTGACAACCTTGTTCTTGTGTGTATATAAATTTTGTTCGCCTACGTCTCCATTTAAATACTCTATTTAAATATATATATATATAGAGAGAGAGAGAGGCGAAACAGCATGCTGTCCGCAGATTGAGTACATATATATATATATATATATATACTCAATCTGCGGACAGAACTGTTTCGTCCTTTGTGGACTCGTCAGCGCAGCACAGAGGAAATGAGGCCGAACCTGATAGCAATGGAAATAAAAATTTCCAATCAGGTCCGAACGTACCTTGCCAGAGTGCTCAAACTGACAAGTCAGTGAGCTCTGCATAATGCAAACAGCAAAGGCACTACCCCACGCAAGAGTGCTCAACTGCTACAAGAGCAGGAGCGAAATACTCATATATATATATGATACTGTAGTAGCAAAAGTTCAACAGGGTCAACGCACCGTCCGACCTAGCTACGACGGTCACTGATTGTAGTGGACTGGACATGTTATTAAGGGAGTCGTAAACCTACGACTTCCTGGTGCATGTACTTGTACTTGTAATTGTAGAACATGTACAACTGTATGGAATTTGATGCGGACAGGCGGATTATTCCAATTTTGTGCGATTCGCATGCAATTTGCCTCGAATTATGCGATTATTCGATTTTGGTAGGAATTATGCGAAAAATTATGCTAGCATAATCTGTCAAGGCCTACCTCTCTCTCTACCTTACTTTTTCGATATATTATTCCGTGCTGCTTACCTTTGGCTATGATAAGTCTGGTGAGTTAGTGTAGTACCTCCAATTTTTATTTTTATTTTCAATTTGGAGTGGAATAAAGAATCATAATAATACTTGGTCCGCCAAGTCAAAATTGGCGCTTATCTTCTCACTTGGTTTTTCGGTGTTCTGCCTGTGCCACACGGCATGGAACCACCGATTCACCATCCGAACATAACCATTGACCATTGCATCCGAAGACATGGCAGCACAAACCATCGCAGAAGTTGCGATCGGTTCGTTTGAGTCTTTTTGACGGAGCTGACGCCGACGAACACTTCCGTCATCGCAAGAAAACACTGCAACCTCCGCTCGAGTCTGTAAAATAGGTCAGGATGTTCGCATTTCAGAGCGATGGACAATACAGTTTCTGTCTACTTCCAGCTGTCTGGTGGCAAGGATTGTTTACCCCGAGGAGGTATAGAAAAGCTGAAAAAGCGCTTCGCGAGCTTGAATTTGAGTGCTTGCACAGCACAGCGCTTAGTGAAGGGCTCATCAGCAAGTACGACAAGCGCAAGAGGCGATTTGAAAAATGGCGTTGCCTTTTTGTCTTGAACAAAGTCGCATTATTGCGACAAACGGGGATAACACTTACAGTCAACATGCGGGCAGTCTCACTCAGCTTCTGATTGGCAAGGTGACATACATGCACTGCCTTTGAGCGTGATTCGAGATGAGGAGAAGTGGAACAAGCTATGAAACGGGCAGCAGCTGTCCGGATCGAACGTTTGGAGCTCTTCCTTCAGCGACGATAGTGGCAAGGAGGATGTGGAACTTGCTTGAATTTTCGACTGAATTGCTTACTATTATTATTATTATTAAAAGCATGTCCGCGTAGGTGGCGGGGGTGCCACTTTCGCTTATGCCATTCAGGATTGATGTCTGAAGAGTAATACGATACAATGAAATGACAGAAGTGACGTCAACAAAAGCCGTTAGCAACAACACAAATATGACTAATGGAAAACTTCATCCAAAGTATAAAATAAAATAGAATATGCATACAACATGTCTGGTCAGTCCTGTTAGGTGGGGCGGGCTCCACGCCATGCCTGTCGGTCTGCTGCCATTGTGCGGACTGCGTCAACATCTAGCGGCTGGTGGAGGGTAAGTCCATGCCATGATAACAGTTCCGTCTGCAAGACCGTTACCAAAGTCGTCCGAGGTCGACCCCTGAAGCGTTCAGTGCCCTCGTCGTTGGCCAGGCGAAGATACATATCCACTGCCAACTGTGGAGGAGCAGTTGGGGCCAAACGAAAGATATGGCCAGCGAGACTGTAGCGCTGCCTTGTGATCATCTCGCTGATGGGGACAGCTCCGCAGCGCTTATACAGAGTGTCATTGCTAATTCGTTTAGGGTACCGCATGTCGATGATGCTCCTTAGCTGGGTCCTGTGGAACGAATCCATTCGCGCGAGCTCCGACATCGGTAGGCCCCATGTAAATAACCATGTATAACCATAACCATAACCATAACCATGTATATAATGCTGTGTGATCGTGGCTTGCTTCAAATATTCGTATTTCCTTCCTGAGAGAAGTGTGAAGATAAGCGCCAATTTTAACTGGGCGGACCAAGTAATACTACTCGTACCTATATTTCCTTTTCCTTTCTACATAATAATAATAAAAATAATAATAATATGTTTGTCTCTTTCCAACGCATATGGCCGATTGGTTTGCAGGCCTGCCTGCGAATCATAAGGTCCCGAGTTCAAGACCCGCGCTGGTAACAGGGAGCGTGTAAAAAGACTTTTTACGCGTGCTGAACTGCGCCGACACCCACAATCAACTGGGTACTCACAGCTCGGAGTGAGAATAACAAGGATGCAGTTTACAGGGTTATGGGCCGTTACACGCCCGATTGGTTGAGAGACTAACCTCCTCTCCCCTGACTCACTTGTGAGGTCTGCATTCGCCACTAAGGTTAAAGGGGAAGTTAAGGCAAAAATTAAAATTTCACCAGTTGTAGTCTTCGGGGTGCTGAGTCGAATGGTCTTGGTCCGAGGAAGCTGAGACGCTCCCTTCCTACTTGAATCCCAATCGAACTCGCGCACTTCCACCGAAACTGGGTGACTGCGCCCTACGAGATGGGGATTTGTATGCAAAATGTCACTAAAAGCGCCATTTCGTTCTTATAAAAGCACGGATGACCGCGATTGGCCCATATATTGTAGTCTTTTGGACGCTGAGTCGACTGGTTTTGGTCCGAAAAGGCTGCGATGCAGCGTTCCTCCTTTATTCCCAATCGAACATGGTTGAAGAAGTGGTCACGTGGTCCTGGGTGCCCAAATCACCTGGTCACCACGCCAGCAGGTGACAACTTTCACACCAAGGTTCAACTCGAGTTCAACTCGAGTGACAGGTCTGCACCCAAAAAAGGTCAAACAGGCTAGTAAGTTGTACCCTGCAGGCACGGTGACCAGGTGACTGGTGTACGCAGGAGCACGTGACCGCTTCTTCAACCATGTTCGATTGGGAATAAAGGAGGAACGCCGCATCGCAGCCTTTTCGGACCAAAACCAGTCGACTCAGCGTCCAAAAGACTACAACATATGGGCCAATCGCGGTCATCCGTGCTTTTATAAGAACGAAATGGCGCTTTTAGTGACATTTTGCATACAAATCCCCATCTAGTAGGGCGCAGTCACCCAGTTTCGGTGGAAGTACGCGAGTTCGATTGGGATTCAAGTAGGAAGGGAGCGTCTCAGCTTCCTCGGACCACGACCATTCGACTCAGCACCCCGAAGACTACAACTGGTGAAATTTTAATTTTTGCCTTAACTTCCCCTTTAATAGGCATAGTGGTGGCCTGCGGATGCGAAGGCTAGTTTGTGTGTTTCTGAACATTCAAGCGATGCCGACGCGGATCCCGCGAATATTATTATTTATTATTTATTGTCTCTTTCCCACAAACCAGTTAACATTTTAAAATAATAATAATAACAAAACCTGGGCTCACTCAACAAAACAAAAAAAATGTTTTGGGGATTAGGAAATTGTTAGGATGGGTGGAACACCAGTTTGACTTCGCGCTCCTCCGACAATCCTCCTGTGATGGCTGCGACTCCAGCGCTAGCGTAAAATTTGGAGAAGAAATGATCAAAATACCTGCAGCATATTCTGGGCTGTCCGCACCCGAGAACGTTGAGCAGTTCTAACGTCAAGAACAGAGAGAGCACCAATGTACGGCCTTTAGGCGCCCTTAAGCTTCAAAAACCCAACCCAATACATGTGGGTACAAGTCGTGTGCTTACCGGCAGACTTGTCCTGGTCGAAGATCGCCTTCTGTTGGGAGCCACACGAAACCGCGGTGCTCAAACGATGTCTCCTGTCGGGATGGATGCACCGTTTCTGCCTGCCTCTTTGCTGCTTGACGAAAGTACGGGCGCGCGCAGACCACTCGTTCGAGCCCTCCTCCACGAGCAGTAGTCAAACCACTGAGACAAAGAGGCCAGCAATGTTCAACGGGATCATCCCGATCACCAACACACAGTACACAGGGAGTAGTATAACACCAGATAGCTTGGGCTTGCAGAAAGACAAGAATCAAGATCACGCTCCTGGCTCTTGCTGTGATGTGCGCGTGCGTGCGTACCCATTTTGGGCGACCTGCGAAAAATACGCGATCTGCGATCTGTGAAAAGTATGTAATCAAGCATGCTCAGATCAGGATCTATGATTATAGGAGCATGCTTGATTTCATTCCTTACGGCACGACCCAATATATTTGGGAAGGTCAAAGGTCGAAAGGTCGAATTATTCCGGAAATGAAGTCAAAGGGTTCTGCAATTACAGGAATGATGACTGTCAAACAGGGAGTCGTACTCAAACAGGGAGTCGTACTCAAACTAGGGAGGTGACATGGCACAGAAATCCGTGTCACAGGCCGGGGTTGACTCGCACCCGTGACCCCTCGTTGTTATTTTTGGAATAGTTCAGTCCAGTCCAGTCCGAAAGGTCATACTCGGATCGACTCGCCTTCTGTACTTCACCTCCAAGCGTGCCGCATGGGTGTCTACAGTTTTTGAAATTATTGAGGCAGCACATTTCGTTTACAGCCCATCACTCGCCAGTATTCTTTGAAAGACTACCAGCAATTTGTTTAGCTCCTGCCATGTCCGAACTACTTGATGGCAGTGATGGCAACAGCAGCAGTTATGAAACGGCGTGTAGTGTTGCGGTAACTGTTCAGAACTGTTCAGAGTCGTATCCTAGTTTAATCCGAATACTAAAAATTGACACAAATTACACATAACACGAAGCTGGTTTTTGAAAATTGTAAGTCGTGTATCTGCCCCATTTCTTCTTTATGACTTGCACAATACACCAGTCTTCCTAAACAACACATTTATAGCAATGGTTAAGTACCATAAGAGAAGTACAGCCAGTGATATTGTCATGTTGAAATACTACAATTTTGACACAAATTACACATATCACGAAGCCAGGTGTTGACAATTGTAAGTCGTGTATCTGCCCCATTTCTTCTTTATGACTTGCACAATGGTCCAGTCTGCCTAAATAACACATTTATAGCAGGGGTTATGTACCATATTAGAGAAGTACAGCCAATGATATTGTCACGTCTAAATACTACAATTTTGACACAAATTACACATAACACGAAGCTGGTTTTTGAAAATTGTAAGTCGTGTATCTGCCCCATTTCTTCTTTATGACTTGCACAATACACCAGTCTTCCTAAATAGTAGTAGTAGTAGTAGTAGTAGTAGTAGTAGTAGTAGTAGTAGTAGTAGTAGTAGTAGTAGTAGTAGTAGTAGTAGTAGTAGTAGTAGTAGTAGTAGTAGTAGTAGTAGTAGTAGTAGTAGTAGTAGTAGTAGTAGTAGTAGTAGTAGTAGTAGAATTTATTATTTTGATAGGGAAGGCCCTAAGACGTTGCCGTCTTGTTACAGGTAACCCTAAGTGCTCTTTACAGAGCGAAACAAAAACGGATAGATGCTCAACCTGACGACACGAGACAGGCAGAGAATTCCACCTATCAGCGCCAAGGAAAGAAATAGAGAACATGCCATATCTAGTGGTAGCAGCGGGCAAAGAAAGTGAAGAGAATGATTGCCCTCTAGTGCGCCTCTCGGTGCAAGTAGCAGCCGACTGGAGGGTAAACATTGAGGAAAGAAGAGGACTTGTAAGCTGATGAATACAGCGGAAAACAAAAATAAAAAGCCTCAAGTTGAGACGAGATTCGAGGTAGTATAACTTAGCGTGCCGCAAAACAAAGACAGTCGGGGTACGGCGAGGGAGACCAAAAACCTGTTTCATGCTGATATGACTTAAAGTAACAAGGCGAGAGTATAAAGATGGTGTAAGACAGTGAGCATAGGAGTTGCTGGCGTATTCAATAGTGGATTGGATGAGGGATAAATAAAATATTCGCTTAGTTGTGTGGTCTACTGTACGGCGGCAGCGGCGGAATGCTCCTATCCTCTTATAAACAGATGTACATACATGGTTGACTTGATTCTCAAAGGTGAGGTGTTGGTCAATAATGAGGCCAAGATAACGCACTGTGGCAGAAGGTCGAGTATCGACACCACCGCATGCAATGGTAAGATCCGGCGGAAGAGGCAGAGCCTTCTTCCGAAGCACCATGAACTTCGTTTTCTGGGCATTCAAGATGGGACCAATGCTTCCAAGGTACGTATTTAGTCTGTTCAACTCACTTGTCAACTTGTGCTGAAGTTCTCCAGTAGACTGACAGTGTATATAAAAGGCGATATCGTCAGCATACTGTTGGGACTCTGCGTGGCGAAATACTCCAGGGACATGTCGCACGTACAAAGAGAATAGCAGAGGCCCTAGCACCGACCCTTGCGGAACGCCTCGTGTACAATGTGTCTCGTCTCCTCTGTTATTTCCAATTTTCACCTGTTGTCGTCGACCCTGGAGATAGCTGGAGAACCACTGTAGTGCTACTCCGCTTATGCCAATAGCTTGAAGCTCGTTAAGTAGTAGTTCATGGCGTACCCGATCGAAGGCCTTGCTCATGTCCACGAGTACAACCCCGTAATACTCGCCCTTGTCCACACTCATCAGCGGTTTACTGCGTGAGTTAACGCATCCTCACAGGAGTGCCCACTGCGGTAGGCGAATTGCTCGTCTGGGAGAATACGAAGCTCAGCGTGATCTTGAAGGAACCTAATCATTTGCCGATGTACTACCTTCTCAAGGATCTTAGAAACAATCGGCAAAAGTGAAACGGGGCGATAATTCGACGCTTCAGATTTGTCCCCTGACTTGTGGACAGGACACACTGTAGCCAATTTGTACACGTCTGGCACCATTCCAGTACTCAAGGACTCGTTAATGATCTGCGCTATGGGACCTGCAGCGGCAGGCTCACAGAGGCGTAGGAGCAGAGGAGGAATGTCATCCGATCCAGCTGCCTTGGCACAGTTCAAATGCTTCAACAGATCGCTTATCTCCAGAGCTGAAACGGCACGAAATTCTTTAAAAGAAGGGGCGTCTGCGTCAGCTGTTGTCGAGATGTCAGGTATTAGGTTGCCCAAGGGTGGGCAAGGATTAGGATCAGTGACAATGATAAAAGAAGGGGCGTCTGCGTCACCTGTTGTCGAGATGTTAGGTATTAGGTTGCTCAAGGGTGGGCAAGGATTAGCATCAGTGACAATGGACGCAAATGTGGCACTCAGATCGCCTAACGTAGCTTTTGGTTGTTCACGGACAAAGTTGCGCCCTGTGAGCGAGTTTAGAAGCGCCCACTGTTGCCTTGGCTTATTCTTCACATCTCGAAACTCCCTGTTGTAATACTCTCGTCTCAGCTTTCTATTTTAACAGTGTGCCTTCCCTCCTTGTTGCCCTGTACTGTTGTTTAACAGATTCATTTCCGGGATGTTTCAAAACCTTCGCGTGGAGGTGCTTGCGCCTTTCTAACAACCTTCGGAGTTGATCGCTTACCCAAGGCTGTGGTTTAGGCTTAGCCCTAGCACTGATGGTAATTTGTTTCACAGGCGACTTTTCGTTCAGAACTCTTTTGCATAGAATAGAGAAGCTAGTTGCCATTGTGTTAACGTCTGGTGAGCCATCTGGGGGTACTCTGCGGAAGGCGGAATCAGTGAGTGCATCAAGCATGGAATCGGTGCATTCGTCTGCAGGCAGTTTAAATAACACATTTATAGCAGGGGTTAAGTACCATACAAGAGAGCTACATTGTACATCTAGTCATACTGTCATAAACAGCCAGCATTTTTCCTGCAGCAGTCAGACCAGTCACACCACCATCATCATTATTTCCAGGGAAATCCTGTTACATTGTCAGCTCCTATGTCGTTAGATACAATGTAGGGGGCTGTAGGACCGGCTCGTCAAAAATAGAGAACCTGAACAAGCGTGCTCAGGACGTCTCAGCAATCGTAGTATGCCTGAGCACTCCAATAAAAACTTGATCTATGGCAAAATCGTTCCCCACAGAAAAATCATACTTTGCGGGTCTTGCGTTGCACGCTTGGAGGTGAAGTACAGAAGGCGAGTCGATCCGAGTATGACCTTTCGGACCGGATTGGACTAAACTATTCCAAAAATAACAACGAGGGGTCACGGGTGCGAGTCAACCCCTGTGACACGGATTTCTGTGCCGTGTCACCTCCCTAGTTTGATTACGTCTACGACTCCCTGCTGTCAAACGATCCTGATGGCCTGATTTTGCCCGCGGCCGGAAGACCGGCAACGTCTGTAGGGCCTTCCCTATCAAAATAATAAATTCTACTACTACTACTATTCTACCGCCTATTGGCCATGGCCCGGGCAACGATCACGTGTCGTGTAAGAAGCATGTAATCAAGCACGATCAGGAGGTCATGATGGCTGAATCTTGCCCGAGCCTGCAGCCCACGCACGGCCCAAGGCCCCGCCAAGGGCCGGCCGTAGGCGTAGCTCCGAGTGCTGCATGCAGGCAAGGGCAAGATTTAGCCATCATGACAGACAGAGTGTGCTTGATTTGATTTCTTACAGCACGAAGAAACATATTAGGGAAGGTCAAAGGTTAAAAGATCGAAATGAAGTCAAACGGTCCTGACATTCCCGAAATGACGTCAAACGGTCCTGGAATTCCGGAAATGACGTCAAATGGTCCTGATCAACTGTGGTCTGTGGAACAGTGCAGTGCCCTTTTTGGAGCAACATAGTGCTCGTGGATTATGACCCCGCGATCCCAATGTACGTGGCGTTCCGCAGTTCGCTACTTCATACTGACTGGCGTCCGGCGTCGTCTCGAATTTGGCCGCATTTAGTTCTCGGGAGCCTTACGAGGGCTCCCTGACCTGCTCGATCTCCGCCATCGTCAATGTACTGCGCATGCACCCAGGCCAGGACTGAACTGATTACTTACGGGAAGGAGTATTTGCAAGATGGAACTGGAAGACGTCGGAGAAGAAGCGTGTGAATCTGGCGGCAATGGCTGGGATGTAAGTCCAACATTGCTGGTGCTAGAGTTGCCACTCCTTGCTTATAAGGGAATCATGTGAA